ACAAGGCATCATCACCATATGGCAAGGGGCGTAAGATTTCCGTCACACGCTTGAGGTATTCAGCCAATCACAATGCACTGGATAGCTGGCCAATCACAGCACACCTCGCTTTTTTAGACCGATGAGCTTTGTAAAATTCGACGCATTTCAGAAAGGCGGGGCATAGAGGAGAAACAATAATGTACAGTATGTGGAAATTAATGTGTTTTTTTTTACCTTAAACCGCATAAACACATTTCATTACTCCAAATACACAAAATAATGTTCTTTTTAACAGCATCATATGACCCCTTTAAGAGTTTATCCACGGACCCAGTATACTGTTACACAACATACGTTCTCTTAACTATTTAACGTTCCAAAACTGACTGTGTTTAACCCTTTAAACATCTCAACTAATACACTTGTTGGTCTCGTTCTCTTTTAGTTCTCTCTTATAACAGAGGCTTGAGCCATTGATATGCAGGCTTACGCAGTTATTAATGCAGTCTAATGCGGTTATTAGAGAGAGAGAGAGAGAGAGATTAAGTGCGTGTGAATACCTGCGTCTATGCGTCTCTCAGCAGCGTTCAGCAGCAGCGTCTTCTAATAGCGAATCTTTAAGTTAAACTCCTTCATGAACCTCGCTACTGAGAAATGTCATGTAGCTTTTTTTTTGCGAAACTATTTTACTGATAAATTCGCGGTGCAGCGCTGACAAGAAGCTTCTGTTCGCGTCTCCGCACTTGAACTCCGTCACCAAGGACTCAAGCCTTGCACTGGACGACACCCACTGGCATCACAACACCAGAGTCCTCCATCAAGAGCACAGAGAACGTGACACCCATGTCCACGACAATTATCAGCCCAACCGCTGGAAAAATCACATGGGACCAGCCACGCTTCTCAAGAAATCCAAAAGATAAGAACAGCTGGAAACCTAACCAGACATCCAAAGGTAATCGCCCAACTCATCCAAGAGAAACTCGTGTGGGTAAGCTACAACAAAACCCACCTCAGCACCACTCAGACATGCACAGTGCCGAGTATACACAATAACAAGACAGCTTACCATCAGACGACATGGAACAAGTCATGAGACAAATGAAAGAGTTCCTTCAAGACAAGCTGAACACGGATGACCACAAAGTTGAGTCATGCTCGCTGTGACCAGCGACAGAACGGAAGGCCGGTGATCACCTGGAACACCACATCAGAGATGACAAACACCTGTTCAACAACCACCCAGAAAGAGCAAGTCTCCCACGGCCAACTGTTGATGGAAACTCAGAGGTACCAAAGAACATCACCTCAGTCACCCATCGCTCCGTAACAAACTGCCAAATGAACTCCAACTCCAAGAACCACATTCCTGTCTGTGCAACATCAACAACCAAAGCACAGAAGGTCAGAAAGTCTGCCACAACCAGAAGGCATCACAAGAGGAATGCAACATAGGAGACTAAGTTTGCACCCCAGCTTCACACAGCCATGCCAAACTAGCTCCGACTGTCTGTTTTGGCTATATTACTTTTTTGTCTCATGCAGCGCACTGCCTGGGTCTGAGTAACTAACTAAAAAAAACTAAAAAAAAAAAGTGCATGCGATATTAATAGACGAACTACGCTCATTTATAATTCCAAACAATCAGTAAGTGACAGGTGTTAGGAAACGCTGTTTTGTACTCATTTATGTACGAGTCGGCTGCGGTGCAGCCAACTGAATGCGCTGCTTCTCTGCCGCTCACTGCACAGAACAGACGCCGAGAGAGGTGACACTTCTCCGGGTATTGTTTACCTTCTTGATAACCACATTCAATCGAAAAATTTTTTTTCTCTAAACCGAAAAGGAATTGTTTCTTTTCATTGAATTGTTTTCACCTTTTTCTCTCTTTTTCCTCTTCCTCATTAGAAGTGATGAAGTCTTCGCATCCCTAGTCTACTTAGACACCCCGAGACCAACACAATCATCACCACACTTCACTAGTGGGTCACAGTCACTGATACCACACTTAGTTGTCCCACCACACATAGGCTTCTACTCCACACAGATCTGTGTCAGTCTCTCTTTCCACCGTGTCCACATGCCACAGACTGCAGACCCCATTGCCCATGGGGAAGATGTGAACACTTGGCTGAGAGGCATGACAGACAGTCTCAACCCCAAGACTTTTGAACTATTATTATTTTTAATAATAATCCTAATTCTGAGAAGATTCCTGACACAAGATTCAAGCCAGAACAACCACCACGAGGAGCTAGTAAAGATCACCAGCTCCCTAAACTATGCCTTCACAACCCAGCTGAAACTGAGCGACAAGCACATCACCCACCTTCAAGAGGAGCTGACGCGTGCTCAACACCGCATAGACAAGCTGGAAGTGAAAGTTCAAGATCAACTCAAAGCACCCAATGAGAGAGAGCAGGAAACAACAGAACAAGTTAAGAAGCTCCAAGCAACCCTGGCAGCAGCTCAGCTCGACCAACAAACATGCAAAGGCTGCCCAGAAAGACCTGGTAAACAGATTCCAGTATGCCAAACAGCTACTAGGGAAAGCCAAGAATGACATCAGAGACAAGAATGCTGAAATCAGTGCCTTGAAAGACCACCTTGAAAGGTACAGAACTGAAATGGACAATCTGACCCAACAACTAGACGATACCAACGATGAGTTCTACATGGTCAGAAAATAACTTAAATATGCTTATGAGCTGAAACAAGAACTAAGAAAAGAGAAACATCTCTCAGCCTCACCACTGCTGAGCAGAGCAGAGTCCCACGTCCAAGAATTGGCATACAACGAAAGAAGTTAAGGGCCACAACCCAAAACCTCACCTGCCTTCACCACACAACCCTTTCCTGCCAACGAAAGAATACCTCCCATCCAAGCAGACCTTGGAGCTGCATATGGGATGACCATCAAAGACCTCAACAAGCTGTCTAAAAACATCAGCAGGTTCAACCCAAACTCCAGAGGGCCACGACATCCAGGCCTACCTGCAAGATATCGAGTTTCATCTAGAAATGAAACCTCATGTGACTGACAGAGACAGATTATACCTCCTTAGAGCCACGTCCAATCCTGAGGTACGAAACTTCCTAGATCGACAGCCCAGTCAAACAAAGTCAAGCTACCAGCTACTTCGTGAGGTCCTGATTAAAGAGTTTACAGACCCTGAGTCTGAACATGGACTGTTAACTGCCTTGCAGATCAAACAAGGTCGACAAGAGACTCCACAAGCCTACTACAACCGACTCCGACAAGCCTACTTTGGTGCACACAACGAACCTGACCTTGAAGAGGATGTGAACTTCAAAAGCCTCTTTGTAAGAAATCTGCACCCTGGAGTCAGCCACCATCTTGGCGTCATGGCCTGTCCACGCTCCATGACCATCCAACAGTTGCGTGACCTAACACAGAAGGCCTACAACAAGCAGAAGATGGCCTCAAAGAAAGGTAACAAAACATACCATCTTGGCGTCATGGCTTGTCCGCACTCCATGACCATTCAACAGTTACATGACCTAACACAGAAGGCCTACAACAAGCAGAAGATGGCCTCAAAGAAAGGTAACAAAACATACACACACTTGAACTCCGTCACCAAGGACTCAAGCCTTGCACTGGACGACACCCACTGGCATCACAACACCAGAGTCCTCCATCAAGAGCACAGAGAACGTGACACCCATGTCCACGACAGCTTTCAGCCCAACCGCTGCAAAAATCCATGGGAACAGCCACGCTTCTCAAGAAACCCAAAAGATAAGAACAACTGGAAACCTAACCAGACATCCAAAGGTAATCGCCTGACTCATCCAAGAGCAACTCGTGTGGGTAAGCGACAACAAAACCCACCTCAGCACCACTCAGACATGCACAGTGCTGAGTATGCACAAGAACAAGACAGCTTACCATCAGACGACATGGAACAAGTCATGAGACAAATGAAAGAGTTCCTTCAAGGAAAGCTGAACATGGATGACCACAAAGTTGAGTCATGCTCGCTGTGACCAGCGACAGAAAGGAAGGCCGGTGATCACCTGGTACACCACATCAGAGATGACAAGCACCTGTTCAACAACCACCCAGAACGAGCAAGTCTCTCACGGCCAACGGTTGATGAAAACTCTGAGGTACCAAAGAACATCACCTCAGTCACCCACCGCTCACTAACAAACTGTCAAGTTAACTCCAACTCCAAGAACCACATTCCTGTCTGTGTAGCAGCAACCACCCAAGCACAGAAGGTCAGAAAGTCTGCCACAACCAGAAGGCATCACAAGAGAAATGCAATGTAGGAGACAAAGTTTGCACCCCAGCTTCACACAGCCATGCCAAACTAGCTCCGACTGTCTGCTAAAGAACTTCCTGCCTTGCTGGACTGACCCCCATTAGATCATGGACATGCCCTCATCCAAGCCAAGGATGCAGAGAGCCAGTCTTCACTGACATACAAGAAAAGGGGGGAGACAACACAGACTGAAACAGATCTGACCACACATACACTACACCATTAACACACACAACATTACCTAAACACAGAGGTAACCACATCTACTGATAACACAGTCAACAAACATTTTCTTCCCACAAGTAGAATATCCAAATTTTAGCGTAACATAAAGTTACATATGCCCACCATGAAGAAACATGCAGCCATCCTCACAATAGGTAGAACACCTGACACTAAGTTAAGGTACATGACACACTAGCTGCACGTGACATCCTAGCTCAACAGTAGTTGTAAGCCATGCTAGGAAAATCCACAGCAGCTTTGTTTTGTTTTGTTTTGTTCTTCTTTTACCTATCCTGATTCCTTCCCCTCTTTCCTTAGTAGGTGAAACATCAACAACCAAAGCACAGAAGGTCAGAAAGTTTGCCACAACCAGAAGGCATCACAAGAGGAATGCAACATAGGAGACTAAGTTTGCACCCCAGCTTCACACAGCCATGCCGAACTACCTCCGACTGTCTGCTAAAGAACTTCCTGCCTTGCTGGACTGACCCCCATTAGATCATGGACATGCCCTCATCCAAGCCAAGGATGCAGAGAGCCAGTCTTCACTGACATACAAGAAAAGGGGGGAGACAACACAGACTGAAACAGATCTGACCACACATACACTACACCATTAACACATACAACATTACCTACACGCAGAGGTATCTACTGATAACACATTCAACAAACATATTCTTCCCACAAGTAGAATATCCAAATTTTAACGTAACAAAGTTACATATGCCCACCATGAAGAAACATGCAGCCATTCTCACAATAGGTAGAACACCTGACACTAAGTTAAGGTACATGACACACTAGCTGCACGTGACATCCTAGCTCAACAGTAGTTGTAAGCCATGCTAGGAAAATCCACAGCAGCTTTGTTTTGTTTTGTTCTTCTTTTACCTATCCTGATTCCTTCCCCTCTTTCCTTAGTAGGTGAAACACCTAGACACCCTGCAAGGGTCAAAGGTCTGATATTAGGATTGACTCACCACACCTAATATCCGCCAGTAATTCTAAACTGAATGGAAGCCAGAGAGCTCCATGCACGATAGGTCAATTCATTTCATTGCAAATGATGTTACTAGAAAATTAACGGTAAACGTTTTAAATTAAGACAACCTAGAAGAACCAAACAAAGTTATCCGCAAAATTTGATTGACGAATCAACGTACGGAACCAAATTAGAACAATTTCCAGATTGAACTAAAACATATTCAATTTACTAAACTAGTTTGACTAATTGAACTTTACCACCTGTACCTAAATAACCTGATGCCTGCACCAGTACAGTAACAGTTATGGAGGTGTCTTGTTGTTTGCTGTGTTTGTCTGCTTCTTCTGCCTTTGTTTCTCCAGCGCTCGCCGATGTCTTCAACTCAACACATCTCCGATCGAAGGGGGGTATGTAGGATATCAGACCGAATCAGACAATCTAAGATTTGGTCAAACATGGCTGAAACCTGAGGAGCCCAGAATTCCACAAGAGGCCCAAGACACACATTCGCTGTAGTCGTTCAGTTCTGTCTAATATGGATAGAAGTCTAATAATCACATAGAACTGTTAAACAAAGGAATTAAAATGTATACAAAAAGTATTAGTCGAATCTAGTTGAGATCTTGTGAAGTGTGCATTTGTATCCTGCACGATCGCATATGCTCTGCGTGACGGTCGATCAGTGTGAATTGAATGCTGACAGGAGGACAGTCCTGCTTGACTGGAGATGCGCGATCGACAAACTTTAAACTAGCGATTTCAAATTATGCTGCGCGTTATGCATTTGCCCACTGTCATATTAGTGTCGTTTTCATTGCGTGCTGTATGTAAAATGAGTGTTACCTTGGCTTTATTTGAAAAAAAAAAAAAAAAAAGAAAAAACAGCAATATTGAGAAATATAACATTCATTTTCAAATCATTTCAAATTTCTTAAATATAAATTAAAATAAATAAAATTATATC